ACCCTTCAGAAATAAGCACATCAAACTTATTGGGAGAGATGAAATTCTTGTCGGAGAGTGAGAGGTTAAGATATTTGAAGAAGAAGAGGCAACATCATTAGGGGAATTAAGATTCGGAATTTCTGGAATTCCTGAAATAATAGCATCACCTAACTTAGGAGGAGCATCCTGAATGGTGTTCACAGTAATTACCCGCGATTTATGAGGAGACGGAGAATGCGGCTGATAGAGAGGTCCAGAGGTATTAGGAATATCCTGCAAATATTCCGAGGATGGGACAGTAGTATTAGTAGTAGGATTCTGGAGGACGACATTAATAACTGGAGACATAGAAGTGTTCTGAGGCCTAGAATGAGGCCTGAAACACGGCTTTCTGCTTTGACTTCTACCCCGTTTAGAAGGCAACTCCTTATTTTGAGGATTAGAATCCAAATTTGGTTTGGACGGACAAGCAGAAGATAAATGCATTAACGACTTACAGTGTTCGCAAGGAAAAGGTCTCCATTCGTATTGAACTTTCAGTGTGACAACGTCACCATTCAGCGACACCTTGATCTCCTCAGGGTATAATGCATTGCAGTCAACAAGCACACAAACCCGAGCATAAGTAAGTCGCGTCTTCATCTCGGTCAGATTGTCGGCAACAACCGGAATTCCGATTTTACTGGCGATCCGGGAAATCCCCTCTGAGTTCCAACAGGCGAGGGGAAGATCGTGAATCTTCACCCAAATAGGGACTGTAGCAAAATCCTCCTTCTTAGGAACAAACTTTGGGTGCCATTTTTGAAGAACAAAGGGTTTCCCCAAAAGGAACCACACACCTCGCGACCAGACCATGTCAAAATCCTCCACGCAAGAGAAACGAAGGAGAAAAAATCCATCGTTAAGGGAGAGGAGCTGCACAGAGCCTTTTAAGCTCCACGTTCTTTTGATAGCGCCCATCAAAGCCTCGTAATAGGGACGTCTCCCTATAGAGTAACCAACAAGGTAGAGCTTCCAATCTTCGCCTCCGTTGGAAAGTTTCTCCCCAAAAAAGGGAATGATGTTTGGTTCCAAAGGGAAGTGGGAGAACTTTAGAGATTTTTGAGAAGAGTTATCC